AGAGGGAGAGGAAAAGGACGGGGAGGAGGAGGAAGAGAGAGAGAAGAGGGAGGGAAAAAAATATAATAAAATAAATATACTAAAATATTGAAAACTGGTATATCTGGGAGGAGAACCCATAGGAGTTCTCTGCACTACTCTTGCAACTTTTGTGTAAATCTAAATTTACAACAACTTTTTAAAAAGTGTAATAAAGTTTGTGTTTAAATAACAGATATAACCCTGGCTATATAAAACAGAAACACATAGTTATTCTATCACGGCAAGTGAAGAAAAATCCACAAAGGGACATTACAAATTTATCACTCGCCAAATGTTTCAGGATCACACTTTTGTTGCTATAAATACAAAGTCTCTACTAATGACAGGTTACAGAACTATGTAAAAACTCATAACTCATCCTAAGGGGTAAAACATCAGGTGAGATTTCTGAGCCAAGAGTAATTTGGGCAGAAAGCACACAAGTAAGCCAATAAAGCATTCCAACATTAAATCCTGACTTCCTTTGACGTCAGCCCCAGCAGACCAAGGCGAGTGATGACACAGAGGAGTCAGCACAGGAGGAAATGTGTGCCAGCTGGTGCCCAGCATCTTGGAAGTGCAAATTTAGCAGGTAACATAAAACTCCATAACTCTATCTTAAATGCTGGTATGTAAATCACAATATATCTCTTTTCTTGAGAGTCTGTATGCAGCTTCTCAGAGTGTCAAAATAAGTTACAACCAATAATGACTGCTGAATATTATTAAGCCGGCTATAGGTTAAAAAAAATTTTTTTTTAACACAGATTGAAAGACAGAGTCTCTTTGCTTGCTTTTTGATGATACTTTTAATTTCAAACTCAACAGGAAACAAGATAATCACAGGTAGCTGAAAGTCAAGACAATTTCAAACCCATAAATGTATGTTACTGATGAACAAAAACCTCATTGCTGATTAAACTGTATTTTCCTACATATTCTGTAATTTCCTAATATATTCCGCATACATATATCTCTGAAGTCTGACCTAGAGAGACAGGATTGTGTAGTAGTGTGTTCAAGTATTTTTCCCCTCTGGCCATGCAAATGAAAATAGGAAAATGGTATACTATGTAAAAATTATGTATCAATTACAAAAAAAAAAAAAAGATAATGACACAAAATTATTTCTTTTACTTACTTTTCAAAGTTTTAAATCTTAGTTTTAAATGTGGAAAGCATATACTTTTTTTAATCAGGACCAGTAACCCCACTGCAGGAATTCTCACTCAAATAAAACCTAAAACTTTGGCATGAGGTCATTAAACTATTCCTAGGGCACCCTTTTACTCTAAAAGCCTCTGTAAGCGATTAAAGTTCTAATCTGAATAATTACATTCCACCTACATAAATTCCCTCTGTAGTTTCAACTATATGCAATATCAGTCTTCATTTCCTGAATTAAATTAATGTCGTGTAATGTGGTGCTTCTTTTTTAAGAAAAGGAAGAACATCTACTTTCATAGGTAACCTTTCAGCAACCAGTAGAAGTGATTCATGTGCATGAGGTGAATAGGTCAGTATGAATAATCATTAACCACCAATTTGTGCCAGCATTTATTGTGTCGAGCATTGCAAAAGGGACAACTCATCTAATGAAATGAATGTAGCTCTACGGCTTTATAAAAACCAAATATTTTATAAACTAAATCCTATTTTCCATTGAATTGTACCAATGCATCATTAGAAACTTTATTTTCATTTGTGGCTTGCCTTTAATTAGCTGATACTTCCCATGTTTGATCACCCTTATCTTTCTAGTCAAACACTTAATGAATTGCAAATTAATATTGAAAATCCTAACCTGAAAAAAGAACCACTGAGTAGTGTTTAATAAGTAAATAAGTATTTCTCATAGAGGGAATCTTAAAAACATGCTGCCCCTAAACACACACCAACAGAATTTTTGAAAGATCGAAAAACAATTTTTACAGCAAAATTGGTTACTCAAAGTGAATTTCCAGTGTTACCATAACAGTATGTATTCAATAAACCCAAAATACTAGTATTACATGTCCCTTTCATGAGATTTAATTTTTCAATCCTTGGCTATTTCTTAAATAATGTTTCTACCAGTTGCTGAGTAACCTTCAAGAGTGGCTTTTCCCAGAGTAAAGAAAAGCAGCTGTGTTCCTTGCAGGATGCTCAGGGACTTCCAGAGATCTCCACACCATGCCAACTATTTCAGTCCTTGAGTCATTAGAGAAATTTAAAGAGAAGAATGTATTCCAATTGTCAAAAATTCTGTTGAACCCCATGATATAAACATGTTTAGTTGATCAAAGCTGTATAGTAGCAAAGATGTCTTCAAATATGTTGAATTAGTTAATCTGTAAATCTCATTATTGTAATTTCTGCTCTTAAATAATTTAAAGTATGATTTACTGGTATCTAGTGAAACTGTAAATTAAATTATCTATTATACCTAGAGTTGGTCTAAATTTCATGAAATATAGACCGGATTGTAAAAACCTGTTTTCCTTTCTTCCTAGAATTCCATTCTACTTTGATTCAGAAAATAGCATTCTCTTTCCTCTAGGAAATGTCACCTATACTCCACCCCCTAATTCCCACAGAACAATGTGATTCAAAGAGATGTTGTCATTTTCTTACAGATCACTTGGCCTAGCCACAGACTTGGGGTGTATACTTGTTCAAAGCTGGACCAGTCACGGTTCCCCATCCTGGTGGCCAAAGTTGATCTGTATAGTTGTATAGAAAAGGGCATGTGACCCAAGCTGAATACATCACAGTCCTTCCCCAAGATACTCCAAACTGAAATTAAGGCAGTAGGAGCAATCTCTCTCAGGCAGTGAAGAAACTGGGCATGCGAGCTGCCAGCAGCCATGTACCCTGCTATGCAAAGAAAGCTGGTCTTAGGGAACTAAGCCAAGATGCAGAGAAGAACTTAGAAAGAAGACGGAGCACTCTGACAGCATTCAGGTCCTGGCTCTAGTTGTCCCTGACAACTGCCTCACTCCTGACTTCCTTGTGTGTATATAATAAGCCTTCCAACAAATTCCCTTTGTACCAAGCTATTTTCCTACTACCAGTAGCCGACAAAACTATACACAATATACCAAACAAATTCTAACATAATAAATTTGACTTCTTAGGGGTAGGGCCCAGGAATACTGCAAGAAATTCTAATACCTCTGCAAATTCAAATATATCTAATGCAAACCTGGCTTTAGTCCATGAATCGACATTTAGAAATAACATGATTTAACACTTTCTTCACTACCTTCTTCACTGGGGATAAGTCTTGTTCTTTCATAAGACAGTCAGGGTCTTGTAAGCAAGACCTGTATCTCATATTATGCAATGAACCGCTTTAGCTCACAGCACAAGCCATCAACATAGATGTTCCGTAGGAATATATTAGGCTAAAAATATGAAGACTGGGATATTATGATTGCCACATGATCCTCTGGAATATCATTGGATCCAAAGTAAGGAGATTTTGTGTTCTGGAAAAGTTCTTCTTAGAACAGTGATAGTTGTATAGCAAGACAACAGTAACAAAATTGGGGGAAAAAAATCATTCTTAACTGGATTATTTATTACCAAAAGATACATGCTTGTGAATGGATTCAAAGGGATCCTTGGGACCAAAAAGGAATGTGGATGGCTGTGAAGAAGGCAGTTTTAATCTGAAATGAAGAATCTGATTCCAAAGCTCAGCAAAGAATGTCTACATTTTCCTAAGGATTGGGTCTAAGACAAGGCTGCTAGGAATTCAAGATCAAAGAGGCAACAAATATAAAATACATTCTATCTTTAATGTGTTAAAGTGTATTTAAAGCCATATGCCTGTAAATCTCCCTTTCTATGTTTACTGTACCCCTACATTAAGATATTTTTGCATTCAAAGTAAGTGACCAGTTTGCTTTGGGCTGGTGACCCACTATGGAGAGAATCTGAAAGACAAGGGTTGAGAGCAGAATCTTCTGCCCAAGAGAAGGCCCTAACTGTGCTCAAATGATGGAAGTAGAATATAAAGGCAGTCCAGCTTTAAAAATGTAGCTTTTCCCAAAGAAGCTAAAGGATTCCCTGACCTTCTGTATCTCACTGACTACCAGAACTCAGGGAGAAGTTCAACACCATAATTATAATAAATAAAGCAAACTAATTCTAACTCCCTAAAGCTGATAACTATTCCCTTAACTAGCTCTAAATAAAACAAAAAGAAAAAAAAAACTAAGCTGGTTATTCTCTGTATAATTTTGATTTTTTAGAAGGTTATATATTCATTTTAGTTATTTGTTTTATATAACTATTTAGCACAACGCATGAACTTAATACATATTGATAATACAAGAAACCAAACCCCATAACAAAATGCAAATTCTGCCTAACTGCATAAGCTTACTAAAACCACTAGGCTCTAGACATCAACTTTAGGACAACATAATTTTCTCCAAGTTATTCCAGAAGACTATTTGCATAAAACTTCTGGAAATCTCCACTCCAAAGTTCTTCCACTGTAAACTGCACTTAATCTTTTCAATTAGCAACATGCTTAAAGAATACAATACAATATCTGGGATCAATGGTCTATACATTTCTACAAACTGAAATCATATACCTATATAACAACAGAGCAACTGATTGTGACTCAAACCTATCTTGCAACTACACTAATAATTTGGCATTAAAAGGATATTCGAATAGAGCCATATTAATAGAAAATAGTGTCATTTAGTATAATTTCTTAAGAATCTCCACTTAAAATTCTCAGAAAAATTTAAACTACAGACCCAGAGAACTGATAGTTACTTTTATTAACCTCTCCTCTGATTATAATATGACTGTTTTAGAAGACCTTAAGAACACATTCAGTAAAGTAAAATTTCATTTCAATGCCTTTTTATAACCTTTCAGTTCCCAGAATAGGAATAACAATTAGCACTCTCATTTCTAGTGCTTGAAAAACAATGAAGTATGTGCTTTAAAGAATTAAGTTATATCATTTTCACCTGCATCGATGCTCCTTCTACTCTTGCCACACAGGCGACCCGATCCAAGAAAGTCACTGCCACAGGCACTGCCACAAAGAAGCCTTTACAAAAGGCCTTGATGTATCTTTTCACCCACCCTTGTGACTGTGCCATACCTAAAAATACAAAGAAAACAACTATGAAATTAGTCTCAAGATAGGTGAAAAACAAAAACATAAAAACAGTACATGAAAAGTAAGAGTTACCAAAGGGCAATCTTGTCTCTTAATATATTTCACACTCATTCCTGTAACCGTCAGAATAAATCTGACTTAGTTAAAGTCCTAAAGCAAAATACATGAACTCAGGTTAACGCTTTTCCACGACTCAAGTCCACTTGCTAACTTCAGTAGGAAATTTCTCCACACAAAACAGTAAGTTAGAAAAAAATAAGCATTCCAGAAGTAAATTCTTTTCTGTTGCTGACTATTATGATGAAGTTACTCCTTATACCCCTGATATCTGTTCTCTTCTACAGCAATAAAAGTTTCAGTGGAACACGTGGCTGCCCAACTGAAGACTGTTTCCAGCCTCCCTTGCAGCTAAGTGTGACCATGTCACTAGATTTGATCAACAGCATGAGTAGAAAGGATATACTTCTAGGTTGTACCCTGAAAAGGAGGATGCCCTCCCTTTTCTTCCCTATTTTATAACTGTAACAATTTGGTGGTTGGAGTAGGGGTGGCCATCTCAAACTATGAGATAAAAGCTTCAAGTAAAGATGACAAAGCAACAAAATGGAAGGATCCTAGGTCCGCAACACTATGGAAGCACCATACTGTCCTGCATTGCTTACATTTGGACTGTTAAATCAGAGATAAATCACTTGCACTGTTTGTGGTGGCGGTGTTGGTATTGTTGTTGTTGTTTTTAGACAGGGTCTCACTCTGTCACACAAGCTGGAGTCTTGGCAAGACTTTTTTGGATAAGACTTCAAAAGCACAGGCAACCAAAGCAAAACAGACAATGGGGATTACATCAAGCTAGAAAGTTTCTGTGCAGCAAACAATCAACATAATAAAGAGACAACCTAGAGAATGGAAGAAAATATATGCAAACTATACTTCTGACAAGAGGCTAATATCCAAAAAACCATAAGGAACTCAAACAACTCCATAGCAAAAAGACAACTCAATTAAAAAATGGTCAAAAGAGCTTAACAATAATTTCTCAAAAGAAGACATACAAATAGCCAACAGGTATATGAAAAGAATGTGCAGTCATGAGGGAAATGCAAATCAAAACCACATGGATATCATTCCACCCCAGTTAGAATGTCCATTATCAAAAGACAACAAGTGCTGGCAAAGGTGGAGAAAAAGGAACCCGTATACACTCTTCATGGGAATGTAAATTAATATGGCCATTATAGAAAAGAGTTTGGAGGTTCCTCAAAAAGTTAAAAATAGAACTACCACGTGATTCTGTAATCCTATTCTTAGGAATATATCCAAAGGAACTGAAATCAATATATAGAAGAGATATTTGCACTCTCATGTTTATCACAGCACTATTCATAATAGCCAAGGTATGGAATTAATCTAAGTGTCCATCAATGGATGAATGAACTTTAAGATGTGAGATAACTTTAAGATGTTTCGCCATAAAAAAGAATGAAATCCTGCCATCTGATACAACATGGAAAAACCTGGAGGACATTAAGTTAAGTAAAATAATCCAGGCACACAAAGACAATATTGCACAATCACTCATATATAGAATCTAAAAAAGTTAAACTCATAAAAGCAGAAAGTAGAATGGTAGTTACCAGAAGGTGGGGTAGTTAGTGGGGAGGAGAGGTTGGGGAGATGTTGCTCAAAGGAGATATAATTACATTTAGGAGGAATACATTTCAGGACATCTGTTGTATAGTAAGGTGAGTATAGTTAATGATAAGATATTGTATTCCTGAAAAATGTAAACAGAGTGGATGTTACATGCTCTTACCACAAAAATGATAAATATGTTAGATAATGCATTTATTAATTAGCTAGATTTAACCATTCCACAATGTACATGTACTTCAAAACATTGTGTTGTATACAATAAAACTCACAATGTTATCTGTTTACTCAGAAAATAGATAAAAATAAAAATACTCAACCACTAATTCCCTCCCAAATCTTTAATATATCACAGGAAAAAGATGAATGATAATCTAAATTGGCTAATTCTGAATTACCTACTGTAACTGACATCAATAAGGGCTATATGTATGCAAGGTAAGTAATTAAGACCAGTACTCTTGTTTTTTATACTTTTATCAACATATATTGCACATAACATAACATTCACCCAAACCAGTAATCTTTTTATACCTAATCAGAATAAATGTAACTCAGACTAACTTTAGAATATAAGCAATTTAAAAACATGTTTTCATTCAAACTCATCTAATAACTATAATCTTAAGTTAAATTGCTTATGATTTCACACATCTGGTACTCAAGAAATGTGTTTGGCCCAAGGTACTGACTGTTTCTGTGAGCTATCTTAACCATTATACTCCTAAAAGAGTAAACCTCCTTGACATGTTTCATTCATTCATACCCAGCTTTAATGTGAGCCCTTGAGTAAAACTAATTTCTCTTCAATGACATCTTTTGCCTAGAATCCAAACACCTTTACTAGCTCCTTTTACATATCTCTACAAAAGATTTAATATACTTTTCCAATGGACTATTTTACAAAGGTCCCATTTATCATGTACTATCTGCCTTAATATAGAAGAATAACTTTGACATATTTATCAAATTAGTACCTTCAAGATGCAAAAGATGCATTCTCCTCAATATTAGATTTCATTAGCTCAGTCTCTCTGAAAACACTTCTAACCACAGGTTTAACAACACAAACATCGGTCTTACAATAAATGTATAAATGGAATGACCTCCACATCTATTCTTTTTAATGTTTCCAAAATATAAATAAATATATACAAAGATTTCAGATTATAAAATATCTGACTCCACAAGTAATTTATAACATGCTCCCATGTACATAGGGAAAAAAAATAGTTACTATGTAGAATAATATGTAGAAAGGAAATGGCTCAACAGTAAGTAATCAATTCCTCTTTGACCAGTTTGACAGCTTCAAAGTTATTTTAGGTGGTCTACACTTATGTTTAAGTCACATACAACTCCCAGATAATAATTCCAGGGTAGTGTTTCCCAAGTTTGCCTTGATTGACATGCTTAAAAATGAAGATCCCCACTCTCACTCAGACCACCAAAATAAAACACTTCAAGTGATTCCCTTAGAGCCAGTCTGGAAAATACTGATATTTGGGTGTTTAAAGGTCAGATGTTTACTCACTCCTCAAGTTTATTACCTTCTGAAAATGAGAAAAGGGGAAAAGTTAGCAAATAAATATCATCCTGAATGTCTCCTTACATTTAGTTTACCTCCGTACTACATTAAGTATCTGCAGAACAAACATTGTACAGAAAATGAACACCACTACCAGATTCTACATTCTAACCTCCACCTGGTTCCATGAGAAAATGACTTCCAGTGGATTGTCTCTTTGTCCCTGCTAAGGCAGTTCAATCATCCATCCACTCATCTACCCACTCACTTACTACTTGGCTTATTCATTCTTTCAACCAGTGTTGACTAAGGGTCTTCCACAAGCACTGTGTTAGGCACCAGGGAACCATAAAACAGTGAGCAAGGCCAGTCCCAGTCCCCTATCTCATCGAGTTTTTACAACCAACTATGGAATGATAAGGGTCAATCTGAAAATCACATAAACATACATAAGAGTGTAATAAGTGCTATGAGAGAGATACAGAGAGGTCAGGAAAGGTCTTTGAGGAAGAGGCTGAACTCAAAAATGAGGAGGAGTTGTCTAGATAAAGAACTGTGGGGTAGGCAAGGGTATTCCAGAGAGCAGCCATGTCACATGCAAAGTCCCTGTGACAGGAGTGGTCATGTTGTGATGGACAACTGAAGGGAGGCTGGTGTAGATAAAGCATACAGGAAGTGGAAGAGTACAGTGGGACATAAATGGGAGGAGGCAATGTAAATGCCAGAGCAGTTAAGACCTCGCAGGCCCTGTAAGGATTTGCAGCAAATGCGAAGTAACTGAAATGTTCTAAAATGGAGGTGAATGATTGTATCTGCATTTTGAAATAATCATCTATCTGAAAGTCTGGATAGGACAAAAATGGATATAGGGAAACCAGATTATTCTAGTGGTCCAGGGCAAGAGATGATAGTTGGAGTAGGATGATAGTGGAGATGGACTAAAATGGGCAGATTTAAGTATGTATTTTGGAAGTTGAACTGACAGGATCTGGAATTAGATGGGCAATGATGGGAGAAGAAAGGAGATAAAGTGTCAAGGGGCTGTGGTAGCCTGTCAAAGCACTGTTATTTTGTCATTCTCTTGAATTACATGTCAAAATATTTCATACTAAAATTATGTTCATAATTCCATTCCTCAAACTTTTTTTTGGCAAACAAGCAGATGTGCTCCCTGCCCTCAAGGAGTTACAATATACCAAGGAAGACTGCCCTTCAACAATTATTTCCAATGGATGAGCATTAAAAAGGGACGATAGCCCTGAAGCACGACAGCATGAAGCAAGGCTGTCTTATTGATCAGAAAATGATCAAGGAAGGCCTGCCCCACTACACCCCCACCCCCGAAAAAATGGCATTTGAGGGAAGACCTGGGCATTTCAGGTAAAAGCAGTAACATATATGAAGGCCTAGGGGCAAAATAAAATGTAGCTGTTTAAGAAACTAAAATAAGTTCAGTTTGGATAGAGTATATACAAAATTTATTACGTGAATTTTTAATTCAGTAAGCATTTATTTACTATCAAGCAACAATGCTAAGTACAGAGGATATAAAGATGGCTAAGCATATAGTATAGTACCATTCAAAAACTTTCAATAAACAATACATTTCTACATACATTTATATGTGCACATAAAAGTATTTTAAATTGAATATTATTTATATTGTTTTAATTGTTTAATAACCACCCATATGTTACTTGTGTAGTTATTAAAGTATACCAAAAGAAGGAAGAAAGCAGCATCAAAATGCTAACAGTGATTAATTCTGGAGGCTGGGAATAGAGACGATTACTATTTTCTTCTT